AGAGTCCTTTGATGAGGCTCTACAAGTGGAAGATTCAACCAAGTGGGAGCAAGCCATGGATGATGAGATGACCTCACTTGAAAGGAATAATACGTGGGTGCTGACTGAGTTGCCTACAGGAAAGAGAGCTCTGTTGAACAAATGGGTGTTCAAAATCAAGGTTGAACCAGATAGCAGAAGGAGGTTTAAAGCTCGATTAGTAGTTAAAGGATATTCACAAAGAAAAGGCATTGATTATGTTGAGATCTTTTCTCTAGTTGTGAAATTAACTACTATCCGAATTCTGCTGAGTATTGTTGCATCGGAGAATTTGCACCTTGAGCAAATGGATGTAAAAACAGCGTTTTTACATGGAGATCTAGATAAGGAGATCTAGATGAGGAGATCTATATGCAACAACCAGAAGGGTTTGCAGCTCCAGGCAAGGAGCACATGGTGTGTAAGCTCAATAAGAGCTTGTATGGACTGAAACAAGCACCGAGACAATGGTACAAGAAGTTTGACTCCTTCATGTGCAAGAGTGGTTTCCACAGGAGTGAAAAGGATCAGTGTTGCTACCTCAAAGAATACACTGATTCTTATGTGTTTTTACTCCTGTATGTGGATGATATACTAATTGCTGGGTCAAGTATGAGGGAGATAAACCACTTGAAGGCAAGCTTGTCTTCAGTATTTGAAATGAAAGATTTGGGCGCAGCGAAGCAGATTCTTGGGATGAGGATTTCTCGAGATAGATCTGCTGGCACATTAAATCTATCTCAAGAGCAGTACATTGAGAAGGTGTTGTCCAAATTCAAGATGAATGATGCTAAACCCAAGACTACCCCCTTGGCAAATCATATTAAACTGTCAAAGGGGCAATCTCCCAAGAAAGTTGAGGAACGTGAGCACATGACATCAGTTCCGTACGCTTCTGCGGTTGGGAGTTTGATGTATGCTATGGTCTACACTAGACCTGACATAACACATGCAGTGGGAGTTGTTAGCAAGTACATGACAAATCCAGGGAAGGAACATTGGGAAGCTGTGAAGTGGCTTCTGAGATATCTGAGAGGTACATCCAATACTTCACTTTGTTATGGCAATGGCAAAGTAGTTCTGCAAGGTTTTGTGGATGCTGATTTGAGAGGAGATGTAGACTCCAGCAAGAGCACATATGGGTATATCTACACTATAGATGGAATAGTAGTGAGTTGGATGTCCAAGCTTCAGAAATGCGTTGCTCTTTCATCTACTGAAGCTGAGTATGTGGCCATAGCTGAAGCTGGAAAGGAGATGATATGGATGACAGACTATCTAGAAGAATTAGGCCGGAAGCAGTGCAAGAAGATCCTTTATACAGATAGTCAGAGTGCCATATAGTTGGTGAAAAACCCAGTCTATCATTCAAGGACAAAACACATTAGAAGACGGTACCATTTCACTCGCAGGTTAGTGGAAGAAGGCGATATATGTTTGGAGAAGATAGAGGGTGCAAAGAATCCAACAGACATATTGATAAAATATGTTGATGTTGGAAAATTAAGGTTATGCAAAGCCCTAATTGGTATGGTGTAGGATCAGTCTCCAAGTGGGAGAATTGTTAGGTTATGGAGTCTGCTCCCTGTATTTATAGCTTGGTCAACGGCAATATTCAGTAAACCTATGTTTGGTAAAGCCATATTTGGTAAAGCCATATTTGGTAAAGCTATATCTGGTAAAGCTATATATGGTAAATAGCTATATATAGTAGATGGTTAAATCTGGTAAAGCTATATATAGTAGACTGAACCATATATATATCCCGTCCAGTAGAGCTTTGAAAATGTACTTTCAATTCTCTGTACTCTCTCTTGTTGTACATACCTGAAGTCATCAATAAAAATTCTTTTAGCCAGAGTTCTCCTTGCAATTTTCTCTATCCTGTTCTTTGTTTTCATCTAGATTGAGCGTGTGCGTTGTTGTGCAACAAAACCAAGAATGAATAGTTTATTCTACCCTAAGGTTTATTATGCAAATACATCTCATCATATTCTAACCTATACTAGAAATGGAAAAAAAAACAACCAACTACCCTATGCATGTGTCACGATCCTGAGGTGTCTGATGCCGTCATCGTTGTCACATGGGTGCCTTGCCCTTATCTGCAAAAGTAAAGTAGCACGAGGCTTGAGTATTTCTAGAATACTCAATAAGTGACCCCCTATCGGGGTTATGCGACAAACACATGCAATGAAATGATGGGACCTATCGTTCTGTTTCGTTTCGTTTCGTTTCATTTCGTTTTTCCTACGGTGTAATCCTAACAGGTAATCGTGGACGTATACCATATAGTCTACACGCAGCCCATACGTGCGAGTATGGGCTCACCAGCTAGTTCGCGCACCGCTAGGCCACTGTCCCTAGTCGGTGGGCATGCTCTAGGGGCCCACCGGGACCCGTTAAAACTAAAACCGTCACGGTAGCGCTATGTAGGGCATAACGATCGTTGTCCTGCCATTTGGATGTATGCGTCCGTACCCTCGTGATGGGATAGGGGTATCCCCCCAAATGCATGAACACACAATATGCATGAGGTCCCACTAGTCCTACAGTCATCATTTAATGAGCATAACCCCGTGTCACGTTTTCATGCTTACATGTCATTCTCATTCTCATTTCGTTACATATCATACATATTCCTAGCGGGGTTATGTATCATGCAATTTACCATATTTCATGTCATACAATTCATTCAATTACATTCCCATACTCATACAACAAGCCATAATCGTACACGGGTCACACATCGTCACATGCATTCATATCAAATCCACTAAGCAGCATAAATAACATACATTCACCTTCACATGATTTCGTACTTAAGCACATTAAGCTAGCATACAATATAATGACATGTGCATAACCACGGGCACATGCCAACATACAGCAATTAATGCGTAACGTACAACGGGTGAGCCACTTACTTGGTAGGTCTTAGCCAAAGTACTCCCTAGAATATAACGTAAGCTCATAGCTCCTCGTGGACGTTCTACGCTTCCGTTGGTGGTTGGTTCTTATTGGTTCATGAGTCACTTCCGTTAGTATTCCACAAATGATAATAAATTCCCAACTGGAATTTGTGAAATACGACCTTAAAATGTTCCCTTTTACCTTAAACAGGGCCGAAACCAGGTCCGAGAGGGTCGGAACGGTGTCAAACGGGCTGGAAACAGGTTTCCCGAGCCGAATAAGCCACCGGAGCCGATGAAGCCGCCTGAGCCGAGAGGAGCCGCGCTGTAGACGTGACACGTGGCACAATCAGAGAGCGACGCGTGTGCAGGCGTCTCGGGTCGAAGTGCGGGTTAATGGGTCGCTCGCCGGTCTCGGGCCGCGCGGTGATGGGCCGGCTCGCTGGTGATGGGCCGCGGGGTGATGGGCCGGCTCGCGGGTGAAGGCCGGGTGTTTGGGCTGCGGGTAACGTGGGTTCTGGCTGACCGAAGGGATGGGGTTCGGTTCGGGTTTTAGGATCCGGATCTCGGGTCGGACTTCGTCCTCTTCACCCGACTGCCTGCGCGATTTTCTGGCGATCTCTCTCTCTCCTTGACAACGTCATCCCGACGTTCTTTTTCCCTCTTTTTTCCCCCGTTCTCGAGCTTATCCTTCACCCTAACCCCATTTTTGGTACAGATTTCGTTGGTCAGAGCCTCACACCCCTGAATCTGGAGAAGCTCGGAAGTCCGCTGTTCCGTCTTCCTTGCCGACGGTGTTCAACGTACGGGATTCGTCTAAAACCTACTCCTGATGTGTGTAAAGGGTTCTGGGATTACTTTTGTGGTGTGAAATGGGGGTTTTTGACGTCGATTCGTATGGTTCGGCTTCGCTGGAGTTCCGTCGGTTTTCTGTTCTCTCTCCATTTTCCTCACCATTTTCGTTTCTTTTCAGGTTCTTTTAGAGTGGCTAAAGGTCAGAGACGCGATTTGTGGCATCCCAGCCCTCGGCCGCCCTTTGTGGATCGTGTGCGAGCGAAAACTCCGGCGTTCGTCGGAGTTTTCGGCTCTGCCGACGACCATCATTTTTTTTTTCGGTTCTGTTACATTACCTACCCCTAAAAGGGACTTTCGTCCTCGAAAGTCTCGAACTCGTGGATCAACTCGGGATATTTTTTCTTTATTTCCTCCTCTCGTTCCCACGTAGCTTCCTCAACTTGGTGATTACGCCACAATACCTTAACGAAACCTATACTCCTATTATTTAAGGCTTTCACCTCTTGGGCTAGAATTTTAATCGGTTTCTCGTGGTAACTTAAATTTTCCTTGATTTTGAGAGGCTTGTAGTTTATTACGTGCGTCGGGTCTGGAATATATTTCCTTAACATGGACACATGAAATATATCGTGTACGCTTGAAAGTGAAGGTGGTAAAGCTAGTTTGTAAGCTACCGGACCTACTCTTTCTAGAATTTCGAACGGTCCAATGAATCGGGGGCTGAGCTTCCCCTTGCGTCCGAATCTTAGAATACCTTTCATGGGGGCTACATTTAGGAACACTGGGTCCCCCTCTTCGAACTCTAAATTCCTACGCCTAACGTCGGCGTAGTTCTTTTGCCTACTCTGCGCGGTACGCATTCTTACTCGAATTTTCTGGATTGCCTCGTTGGTGACACGGACCAGCTTGGGTCTTACCAGTTCTCGTTCTCCTACTTCGTCCCAACACAATGGGGATCTACATCGTTTTCCATACAACGCTTCAAAGGGTGCCATCCCGATGGTTGCTTGGAAGCTGTTATTGTAAGAGAATTCCATTAAGTGCAGTTTGGTGTCCCAACTCCCTGTGAAATCCATAACGCATGCCCGAAGCATGTCTTCAAGAATTTGGTTTAATCGTTCTGTTTGGTCATCCGTTTGTGGGTGGAAGGCGGTGCTAAAGTCGAGGCGGGTACCCATCGCTTTTTGGAGTCCGCGCCAAAAGGCAGATGTAAAATGTGGGTCCCGATCCGACACAATTGACACCGGTACTCCATGCAACCTCACAATTTCTTTAACATACAGTTGTGCCCAATTGTCTACTGTATATGTTGCCTTACCCGGTAGGAAGTGAGCCGACTTTGTCAGGCAGTCCACGACCACCCAGATTACCGTATAGCCCTTTAATGTTTTGGGTAGGCCTACTATGAAATCCATGGCAATGTTTTCCCATTTCCATTCCGGTATACTTAGAGGTTGTAGTAGCCCGGCGGTTTTCTGCCTAGGGGCTTTTACTTGTTGGCACACTAGACACTTACTCACGTACTCCGCGATATCCTTCTTCATACTTCGCCACCAGAAGTGTTGTTTCAAGTCTTGATACATCTTTGTTCCACTTGGATATATCGCGATATCAGCCTGTTCGAAATCAGTTCGCACTCGTGGCTCCCTGGTGATGAGGGCCGACGAGTGTACTACTTTTCGACTCAGTGCATCAGCGACTACATTTGCTTTTCCAGGGTGGTACTGGATGTCTATGTCGTAATCTTTTACCAGCTCTAACCATTTACGTTGCCTCATGTTCAATTCTTTTTGGGTGAACAAATATTTTAGGCTTTTGTGGTCCGTGTAGATCTGAGAATTTTCGCCATACAGGTAGTGTCGCCAAATTTTTAACGCGAACACCACTGCTGCCAGCTCCAAATCATGTGTAGGATAGTTTTTCTCGTAATCTTAGTTGGCGTGACGCATACGCAACCACCTTGCCATGTTGCATCAGTACACAACCTAATCCCTTTTTGGACGCGTCACTGTAAATCACATATCCCACAGAACTTTCTGGAACTGTGAGCACTGGTGCAGATACTAGTCTTTGTTTTAGTTCTTGAAAGCTGGCCTCACAAGTATCGTCCCAAACAAAAGGTACACCTTTTTTTGTCAATTGGGTGAGAGGCGTGGCTATTCTAGCGAAGTCCTGAACAAACCTTCGATAGTAACCCGCCAATCCCAAGAAACTTCGTATCTCGGTGACCGTTGTTGGGCGTTTCCATTTCGTGACTGCTTCTATCTTATTGGGATCTACGAAGATTCCGTATTTAGACACTACGTGCCCCAGAAACGAAACCTGTCGTAGCCAAAATTCACACTCGGTGAATTTGGCATACAGCTTGTTCTCTCTTAGGATAGTTAAGGCTTTGCGAAGGTGCTCTTGGTGTTCTAGGTCTGTTTTCGAGTATATCAGGATATCGTCTATGAACACGATCACAAACGAGTCTAGGCACTCCTTAAATACTCGGTTCATTAGTTCCATAAATACCGCTGGGGCATTGGTGAGACCAAAAGACATCACCACAAACTCGTAGTGGCCATATCTGGTTCGAAAGGCTGTTTTCGGTATGTCTTCATTTTTAATCTTAATTTGATGGTATCCTAATCGAAGATCTATTTTAGAAAACACTGTCGCCCCACGTAGTTGATCAAATAGGTCCTCAATACGAGGTAACGGGTATTTGTTCTTTACCGTCCTCTTGTTTAATTCCCTATAATCAATGCATAAACGCATTGAGCCGTCTTTCTTTTTAACAAACAACACTGGCGCACCCCAAGGGGACACGCTAGGTCGAATGAAGCCCTTATCTAGCAGGTCTTGCAGTTGTGTTTTAAGCTCTTTTAGTTCTGCTGGTGCCATGCGGTACGGGGCCTTAGAGATGGGTCCCGTTCTTGGTTCCAGATCTATTCCAAAGTCTACCTCTTGCGATGGAGGAATTCCCGGGAGGTCCTCCGGGAAGACATCCATAAATTCATTTACTACGGGTACTGTATCTATGGGTTTTTCCTTTCCTTTTGTATTTACTGCACAGGCTAGAAACGCCTTTCTCCCTTGTTGTATCAAGCGTCTCGCTTTCATCATCGATATTATTTTTGGGGTGGTACCTGTGGAGGTTCCTTTAAACTTAAAGGTAAGTCTGTTGGGAGGTGTGAATATCACCTCCTTCTTATGGCAGTCTATGGTAGCAAAGTTTTCTGCTAACCAGTCCATTCCTAATATGAAGTCAAAATCCGCATATCCACTACCTTTAAGTCTATGTGGATGGTTTGTCCAGCTATTACCACTTGTCCGTCCTTTACTCTATTTTTCGTAACTAGGTCTACCCCTGCTGGGGTACCAACCGACAATGCATGCATTAAGGGTTCTACTACGAACCCTGCTTGTTTAACAAATGGTAAAGCAACAAAGGAATGGGTAGAACTAGAATTAAACAATGTCAACGCAAAGTGTCCTAGTATAGAAAGCGTACCTGTCACCACGGTGCCAGATGTTCCCGCCTCTTTACTGGTCGTTACATATGCCTTGGTCTGTGGATGGGTTTGTAAGGTGGGCTCTCGGATGACCGGTCCTCTAAGGGGTTCCCTTGGAATTCCCGGGCTCTTTGTAGGGCAAGTTCTGGCCACATGACCTGCATGACCACAGATATAACACATACCTGAGCCTGCCAAACATCTCCCAACATGTTGCTTTCCACAGTTACGGCACAGGGGCTTCTCCATTGCTAGGTATCGGACTATTGGAGGTGGAGAAGGTAGCCTTCTCTGATATCGAGGTCTTTGGAACGGTGGTTGGAACTCTGTGGTATCGACCTCGACAGGGCGTTTCCTCCTTGTGGTGACCGTTGGCTCTGTTTTCTTTTCCTCTGGGGGTTTCTCTAGGGCCTTGGCCGTCCTTAGGGCCTCTTCATAGGTTTTTGGGTTAAAGGCCTCTAAGATGCGGCGGGTTTTCAGATTCAATCCTAACACAAATTTTTCTGTCTGTTTCTCTTTAGTGTCGGTTAAAGACGGTGCAAACCTTCTCAATCTCATGAAGTCCTGATCGTACTGATCCACCGTGCGATCACCTTGGGTTATGTGGTTAAACTCTTGCTATTTCTTTATACGGGTTTCCTTTGGATTAGTATTTTAGAAAGGCTTCCTTAAAGGTCTCCCATGTTGTAATTCCCCCGCCTGGGTTGATGCTCTGTTTGTTATCCGACCACCACACTTCTGCATCTTTTTGTAACACGTATGTCGCACATGCCACCTTATGTTCATTAGGGCATCTCATTGATTCAAAGGTCGTTTCCATGTTTGCGATCCGCACATGCCACCTTATGTTCATTAGGGCATCTCATTGATTCAAAGGTCGTTTCCATGTTTGCGATCCACATCTGAGCCGCTGTGGGATCTTCCTTTGAACCGACAAAAGGACGGGGGTTATACCGCTTGAAATCCTTTAACCAACTCGCGTCCCTATCCGGGTGCGGGTTGTTTACCAGTTGGATAGCTATCGCATCCACCGGTTGCGGGGCCGCCGCGTTGGCTGGTTGCGTGGCCCGCGTTGGCTGGTTGCGTGGCCATTCCCGTGACTTGTTGCGTAGCCAACAACGTGGCCTGTTGTGTGTCTAGCATGGTTTGCATAGTTTTTTGAAGGGATTCCAACAATAACTTTGTGGCAGGGTCTAACTCGGTCTGTGGTGCAGTTTGAGGGGGCGGTGTATATTTCGGAGGGGGTACAGCTTGTGGGGGAGGTGCATATTCAGGAGGGGGTACAAACGCATATGGGTCGGTAGTCGACCCCTCTTGGGAAGAACTTCTATCGGCGTCTCCTCTTCCTCCTCTCCTAATGGGAGGTCGTCCCCTCCCTCTCCTACCTCTTCTACGTCCTCTGTGCGGCATGGTTCTAGAAACCAAGAAAGAATTCTAGCTAAGTTTATGATTTACAACATTCCCTACATCCTACCATATAATTCATACAGCATCATGTCATGGATCATTTAAAGTCAACCACATTAAATATATCACAAATATCATACATTGCTCATTCTACATAAGGTGTACCTGGCAACTACAGGGCATCAGTGAAAAAAACATAAATCTCATAACGACATGCATTACATCAGATCACATCAACACTAGATAACATCAACACCTTTTTTCATACAGCATCATGTCATGGATCATTTAAAGTCAACCACATTAAATATATCACAAATATCATACATTGCTCATTCTACATAAGGTGTACCTGGCAACTACGGGGCATCGGTGATTGGACCGTGGAACATGCCAAGCCTACTCTGTAGGCTAGTCTACAAGATCTATAACCTAGGGCTCTGATACTAACTGTAACGACCCAGATCCACCGCTAGCAGATATTGTCCTCTTTGGGCTTTCCCTTTCGGGCTTTCCCTCAAAGCTTTAAAACGTCTGTTAGGGGAAGGTTTTCACACCCTTATAAATGATGATTTGTTCTTCTCCCCAACCAATGTGGGACATCACACAATGTCACGAATATATCCTTAATAAAAGTTTGATTCTGTCATTTGAAATCCAAATCAAATGTAACGCCCCGTTAGGCTATATATAATAATAATAATAATAATAATAATAATAATAATGATAATAATGATAATAATAATAATTATTATAATAAAATAAGCAAGAAAAAAAATTAACGGTCCACCTCTCCTTTAATCTCTCCACCCTAACCCAAATTACCTCCTCATCCATCATCAATAATTCTACCAACAAAACAGAAAAAGAAAGAAAAGATCTTCTGGGGAGAAAAAGGCAGATAGATCTTCTAGTGGAGAAAGGCTATTTTCTGGGAGAAGTAAGCAGATAGATTTTCTGGGAGAAAAAAAAAAGAAGAAGATAATGGAGAGAAGAAGATAATGGAGAGATGGTTAGACAGATAATTGAAGAGAGATGTCATTTGAGAAGGTTAGTAGTCAGATTTTCCTTTTTCTTGTATGGAAGGATATTAATATGTCAATTATTTGGATCGAAATAATGATATCTTACCAGTCAATTAAAATTTGGTAGGAAAAAAGAAATACAAAGAAATAGGGAAAGACTGAAAAACAGATCAAACAATCAAAAGAAGGGAAGAAAAAAAAAAAACAAAAAAAGAAAAAGAGCAATTAAAAGAAGGGAAGAGAAAAAAAAAAGAAAAGAAGAGGAATAAAGATATTTCCAAATTAAAAGAAAAAAAAAAGAAATGAAGGGTGAGAGAGAGAAAGATTTAGAAATAACCAAATCTATAGAAATGGTCGTAACCCAGAGAACAAAAAATCAAGTAATTAAACTGTTGAACAGAGTTAGAATTAGATATGAGAATAGAATTAAAAAAGAATTAGAATTAAAAGGAAAAAATGGAAGAGTGGGAGATTTTAAGAAAAAAAAAAAAAGAAGATTAGAATAGATTGAAAATGATTCGGTTAATTGCATAAACATTTCTGACCAAAGAAATGAAAATCAGATTCATTTAAAAAGAAAAAAAAAAGAAAAAAAAAGGAGGAATAAAGATATTTCCAAATTAAAAGAAAAAAAAAATGAAGGGTGAGAGAGAGATTTAGAAATAACCAAATCTATAGAAATGGTCGTAAACAAGAGAACAAAAAATCAAGTAATTAAACGGTTGAACAGAGTTAGAATTAGATATGAGAATAGAATTAAAAAAAGAATTAGAATTAAAAGGAAAAAATGGAAGAGAGGAAGATTTTAAGAAAAAAAAGAAGATTAGAATAGATTGAAAATGATTCGGTTAATTTTAATTGAACAAACATTTCTGATGAAAGAAATGAAAATCAGATCAGTACAATAAGGAATTAAAAAAAATGATGATTCCTAATATTTTTAGGAAAGAAAAGAAAGGAAAATCAAAATGATATTTTTAGGAAAGAAAAGAAAATTAGATTCCATCACATAGTAATAAAAGAACGACAGAGGTAAGTGGAAAATATGAGAAAATTGTTATGATTTGTACCCATTAAATATAATATTATTAGAAACCATATTTAGATTGAATGATCCAAGTAGCATGAAGTTTATTACCCAGTACAATTTAGAAACAATGAAAACATGGAATTCGATTTTTTACTGAGGTCGTTTCAGAGCTGTCTTTCACATTTATTGAATAAATGGTAAATTGATTGTGAAATACTAACAAAAGATGGCGAACGGTGTGATAGGAAACAAATCCCGGCAATGTAGGAAGCTCACGGAACGGGAGCTTACGTTTAGCTAATTAGGGAATACTTCAGCTAAGGCCAACCAAGTAAGTGGTCTTACTGCAGGATAGGCTAAAAAAAATTGTATGAGTTACGATGATGTATGAACTATGTCGTACGATGCGGTATATGAGTTATGATGATGTATGACTTATGATGATGTATGACTTATGATGATGTATGAGTTATGATAATGTATGGGTTATGATACCTAATGATGTGCTCACTATATATATATTTTGATGAATGTCGTACTTGATATGTTTGATGCACTTTGTGGCAATATGATGAGTATGATGATTGCGTGACGTTTACCTTAATATGATGATGTTTTCCATATTGAGCATGCTATATGATGATGAGTGCCATATTGCATCATGTCGTTAGATCGACATAGGACACAACCCTAAAAGCGTGAAAATGATATTAATATAAATATCCACGACTATGTGTTACCTAGAGTAACAAAGAGATGATGAGTGCGGACGCGCACCGTATGATGAGCGCAAATGCGCACAGGTGCGAAAGCACACAGATGAGGGTGTTCATGAGGTGCATGACACTATGGGGTTCCGCTGACCTCCGGACGTCGCTATAGATTAGCTTGACCAGAGGGTCCAGGGGGTGTGCAAGCGCCCTGGGGATTCACACTCGCACGTGTGAGTCATGTGTAGGGAAGTACTACACATCCAATTTGTCCTAGATTGGAGGTCACCCCTAAGATGATTAGAGATAGATCCCTAAATCATGATTGCATGTGTTTGCATTTGCATGGCCCCTATAGTGGGGCCACTCACTGAGTATTTCAGGCCGTGTGCCACATCATTTTTCAGGTAAAGGCAAGGCGCACTTGTACGGAGGACGGCGGCATCACGAGCAGAGACTGTGGCACGTGCATAGGGTAGACTCATATTTAAATTTCTAGTCTTAAGTTAGAATAGGTTGTTTTGCATTTCATTGCTTTAAATTATTTTGTATTTGTTTTTGTTTTCTCTAAATTTCAGTATTTCATATTTAAACACGTAAGACCATGGCTGTGTTTTCTAGAGAAGAAGTTGTTTTAAAAGTTTTTTTTAAAGTTTACGTTATCAATTATGTTCATGTAAGAGTTATATTTCCGCATTATAGATGAACATGAGACATTAGTAGCGACTCTGAATATGTGGAACTTTAGGGTCGTTACATCAACTTAGGTAAGTCCATGACATCAATTTCAAGTTTGAATTCAAATTATTTCTCTAATTTACATTGGTCCACCGTTAAAAGTCAATGTTGTATATCTATAATTATGTTTTTATTAAAAATCTTATTTGCTTGATAAAAAAGTTGATAGCTTTATTTCAAGTCATTCTCTCCTATTTACATTTCTCTGTATATTTAGAGACTTAATTCTTAATTTTTTTTTTTATCATTTATCTGTATTTACTCTATTACCTTTTAATCTTGTTCACATGTATTCTAAAAATTTTTAGTGGATTTCTTTTCCAAATCTTTTTTACATGTATTCCAAATTTTTAGTGAATTTCTTTTCCAAATCTTTACCTACTATGTTTTCTTGTTCACATGTATTTCAAATTTTTAGTGGATGTGTTGTCCAAATCTTTCATTTGTTTTCTTTTCTTCTCATTTCGCCCACACTTAAATTCTGTTCACAAATTTTCTTATGTTCACAAATTTCCTTGACCATTTTATTTTTAATCAATTCATTTGTCTACTGATATAAATTTACTAATCAAATATTACTAATCTAACATGATTTACTAGAATTCATATAAATGATTGACATTTAGTTTCTAACTCATATTATTAATCTAACATGATTTACTAGAATTCATATAAAGGATTGATATTTAGTTTCTAACTCAAATCTAGACCATTATAATGATTTAATGAATTGGTTTCTAATAAAAAAAAAAAAATTAAAATTTAATATATACCTTAACTGGTTAGTATCTTCACGTAAATCTCGTGAATCTCAACTAGTAAAGCTCATTCTCTTTTTTTTTTTTTCTCAAACTAAATTGGCAATTGTGGTCATCTATCTTCAAGTAAATCTAGTGAATCTCAACCAGTAAAGCTCATTCTGTTTTTTTTTTTTTTTTTTTTGGCAATTGTGGTCAGATCTACCTTCGAGTAAATCGAATCTCAATCTCAACGAGTAAAGCTCATTCTTATTTTTGGTCATCTATCTTCAAGTAAATCTAGTGAATCTCAACTAGCAAAGCTCATTCTATTTTTTTTTGGCAATTGTGGTCAGATCTTTCAAGTAAATCTCTATCAGGTGAATCTCAACTAGTGAAACTCATTCTCATTTTTTCCTCAAACTAAATCTGACAATTTTTATTTTTCTATTTCTTTTGCAAATTTGATTTGTTTGGCTGGGTTAAGGAGAGATAATTGGAGAAGGGATGAGAGGTTAGCGGAGAGAAGTAGGAGAGGGTTGTTTCTCTTTTTTCGTTTATTTATTATTTTTTTAAGGTGATTTTTTTGTATAATTATTTTTATTTGTTTATTTCTTTGTTTATTTATTTATGATTTTTGTTTTTGCTATTACATTCTATAGCTCTAAAACAAACTTGAGTTGGAATCACTATCGTCCTTATTCTATGGGTTCTTTGTTGAGATATCAAGGAAAATTTCTTAACGAGTATATCCTAATACATA